TATAATTATTATATATATATTATATATAAATTAATAAACTACTTAATAAGAAAGAAAAAATATGAACATAAAATAAATATTATATTTAAATTAGAAGAAGAAATTAAGAAAAAAGGACTTTGTTTTCTAAAAATTGCAAAATTTTAGATTTTTACATCAAATTGTCTCCATTACAAAGTAAATGTTTTCTTTTAAAACGCAGTTATCTTTCAAAATAATTATAAATTAATATCATAAATAGAAATTACAGGATAAATTACTTTTCATTTCAAATAGCATATTTTTCTATACTGTTTATTTTAAAATCTGTCTAAAGATCTCATCTCTGTCAATTACTTTCAAATACACAAAACTGATGGATTGCATTACATCAACACGTAAAAACTTTCGTGATAGACAAAATTCTGTCGCGAAGTAACTCTGGTATAGGGTAAAAATTAATTGATCACCGTCCTTATATTATCGTAGCGAGTGTGCTGAAAATAGCGGGAGTCATTAACCAATTATCTATCCCGGTAATCTCCCCCAATGACTGGTTGGTACCCGCATAGTTAACGTTGCGCGTCGACGAGAATTCATTTAACTGTTCTTTCCGAATGATTCACGTCGATCTTGCTTGAATCGTTGACGAATCAATTTCCATCAGGAGCATATCGCATGCTGCGGGTGGCGCGTGTCTATGTTCTTAAAAATCAACACCCTGATCGAGGGTGGTCGCTCTTTAAATCAACAGCTTGGTTATATTTTCCCAGACAGAGCAAGATTTGTATTTTTGTGTCTGATTTTATTTTTATCATTCATTAAACATAAAACAAGATTAAGAATAATATAAATAACGCTGCTAATACGTCTCCGAATGCATAATATATAGTGTATATTGTAATATTAATTATATTTAATTACTCTATTAATTATATTTAATAACAGATTAATGAAACAAATGAAATTTTATTAAAACAATAGCATGACGTATTTGTTTCATTAATAGTGTTAATAAATTAACAAGATTATTTTCAATAAAAATAATGCTATTAACATAACATCATTTTTTTCAGATACAAATACAATATACTGTATTAAATTTAATGTTCATCGCTGCACTCAATAAGTTATATTATATATAAATATTATTTTATGTATACCAATGGAAAATTTGTGTTAAATTTAACACATTTCGCGTGTCTTAAGTGATATTTAAATATATGTTTAATTTAATATAAGATTATTTTATATAAGATATTATAGAAGATAACACAAATATTATTTAAGAAGATAAAAACAAAAAAGATAATACCGACACAGTTGTAAATAAATAAGTAGTTTTTGCAGGAGAGTAAGTTGAAGTTAACAAATAAGCGCAAAAATTATTGGACGCAATTTTGTTAAAGGAAAAAATTATTTGTTTTAATATAAAGTATCACGCCTTGTACGCGTCGCGGGCACGAAAATTTTGAAACACCCTTAATACACATATGTATATATAACGATGTATAATCATTTGTAGTGGGCCGTACAAGAAAATAAATTACATATATTGTATGTAATTCAATTATTATATGTATATATTATAGCTGCATTCGAGAAGATGCTATTAGTGCTATTTGCTTATTTCATCTTTACCGTTCATTCATACAATTAATGACATAAAATAACATTAATAGCGAATTCTCCGAACGCACCTATATTTTTGTATATAATTGTATATCTATATCCATTTATGTATGTTAGAGAAAAATTAGCTACGTTTAAAAACTGGCCGAAGCTGCTAGCCAGCTCATCGAGTAATTGATTGCGATTGGATTTTATAAGTAAAGATTGGATTTTATAAAACCAATCATATTCGGTGAGTAGACTAGCTGCTTTGCCAGCTTGAACACAGCCATTGAAACTCTAAAGAATATAAAAGTACAATTTAATGAAAGATTATGGAATAAAAACAAGGATTAATTTAACGGGGAAAAATAAGCTAGACATATAATAAATGAGAAAAAAGGCGATATTATTAATTAAAAATTGATTAAATAAATTAAATAGAATTAAAAATAAATATATGATAAAAGGTTCAAAGTATCTTATCATAATTAGCTTAGATATAAACTTATGTAGATATAAATTAGTTTATACAGATATAATACAAGCAAATTATCCAGCAACATTTCTTTACTTTCTCATTAGCCATTTACTGACACATCAGTCCGATCAGAAAGTTTTAACAACATTTGTAGGTAAGTTTAATAAAATTATCTCACAAACTGTCTCAAAAAGATTTTGTTTTCTTTTTGTGTACATTGTACAAGTCATACCGGTCATACAGACATGCACGTACCGTTAGTGAAAAATTCAAGAAGGGGAGAGAAAAGAGATGAGAAGGTCTACGAGAAACGGTCAACGGATAAGATTCACATAACTGGATCCGTAGCTATTATTAAAGGGTTAAAGAAATCGTTGAGATATGTAAAAAAGAAAATCGATTTAGCTGCCGTAGCACACGAACGTTAAACCGGTAACTCTTGCGTCATCCTGCAAAAGGGCGGGATGTGCATAACGGTTAAAGAATAACAATCGCACCGAAGATGCGTTATTTTAAATAGAAAAAAAAAAGTATTTCCATTTATGCCTTTAATATCGATACAATTATTTAAGATCTGCAAATTCAGCTAATAGAATAAAGATACGAGAACGTTTGACTTATAATTTAACTTTATGATTATTTAAGAGAAATTTAGAATTATTTAATCAATTAATGCTGTGCCTGAATAGATATAAATACAGATTTAGTACTATAAGCGCGTTATTTAATTGCAAAAAAATATTACCTCTTTTGTACCGCTCAGAATATATCCTTTAATTCTATATATAAATATGTATACAATGAGATTTAAAGGCCGGAGATTGATGTCGTTCCGCTTGGAGATTCTATTTACGTTCTTTCTGAGTCTTAATTCTAACAAGACAAGCGAACTAAATAAATCTCACTTCTAGACAATTCTTAGACACCTGGAAATATTTTTCACGCACTGTATTCCGAATTTACCATCGCGAGGAGATCCCATTTGGCAGAAATTTCTGAGAGTTCTCGGTTTATCTTTCTGCCGGCACCTGGGCCTTCCGACCCCTTCGAGATTTTCAGGGGGCGACTAGGACCCCTCGGTGGAGAATATCGGGGAGAGGAAACTAACACGTTGCGCACGTTACGTGCAGAAACAGGTAAGGAGCGAACGTGTTCTCCTCGTCTCGTCTCGTGATCTCTTTTCCCCATCGTCGAGGGGAAAAGATGACAGAGAAGGGAAGGATCTGAAAAGAAACGTTGCGCAAAGCCGTTTTCCCAGGAGCCTCCCCTAAAAGGCCCCCATCAACCATCACGTGCAACGAAGGAAGGGCCTAGTGAGTATATAAGGGCCCGCCCGGACTGCAATGACCTCAGAGCATCACGGTCAACGGTGCAGAGAGGAAGTCTCAGCTTCTTCGACCGATCGACCATCCCGGTCACGGTCGAGGAGGATCCGGAGGGATTGAAGAAAAGAAGAGAGAAGAGGAAGTAAACTGCAGTCATCTAACGGCGGTCGCCATCACTTTTCTGTCGCAGATCCGATCGGAGCGTCTACCACCCACGATGGTGAGTATAGTTTCGGGTTTTTGTCCTGGCTAGCACGTGATCTTGGTGCTTCGATAGACTACGCTAAAAGTCATCTAAAATCTGGTTTTCGGCCTTCGCGGATCTTCGACGTTCTGCCTCGTGAAACCGAAAATTTGCACTTCTTCCCAAATAACAAATCGACTGTCACACGCGAAAAACTGGACGAGTCATACTTTGCATTTAAAAAAGCTAAATACGTTCTATTAACATTCGCTCTGATAGAAATATGTTTGCAGGCAATTATTATAGAAAATGTTGTTGTAGAAATTTGCCACGTGTCTTTTAGGCAGACAAACATATCGATGTCTTCAAAGTGAAATTTTTAAAGTTCAAATTTTTCGATTCGCTTAATTTTTCGCGAATGAGATAGTCGATTTAGTATGACTCATCGTGAAATATGAACACCAGAAGCGATTGGAATCGCTGACGTTTCAGAAATTTATATGAGAGATTCAAAGTAAATTGAATTCGAGTTGAAAAGCATGATACACGTTTATTCAACCAACCGCGCGATTAATTATCGCATGTTAGATTCACGCGTGATACAACGAACAGAGAGGTTATTCTTCTTTTCATGGTGTTCTGATTTTATCAGGTAGTACTCTATACCGGTGAAAATTTTCGGGCAGGTAGAAAATGATTAAATTGCTGAAAACGAGAACAATAAATTGCCAAACAACGTGCGAAGAGAGACTTAAAGTGAAGTTAATCGCGACGGAGGTATCTTGAGATAATTCGCGAGACAGAATAGCGTGAATCTACGATCGAAATTCCGAGTTACGCGCGTATTAATCATTCGGACCTACTCTATCCAGGCACTAATATCCCACCCCAAAATGTGACTTGAAATTTGCTCGTCTTATCTCCCCTTTCGCCGTTGTGTTCGAAAGTTTCGCTTTTGTATCATCTCTTTTACGTCTGATCAAATTGCTCTCTGTGTGTAATAGTGATTACCTTCGAAATTTGTACTCGTCTAAAAGTAGATCGCTCTCTTCAAACTGCTTCTCGTGTTAACGGCGTTATCACTACTCACACGCGTCCGTTGAGATCTTTACCGATTACATTATATTGCCAATACAGCAGAATGACTCCTTACAAGAAAGCGTTTCGTGAAATCTTTATATGAATAATTAAGTTGACAACTGCAGATTGATCCAAATTTGCCGGTATCGTTCGAGTACAATTTGCAACTCGCCGTGATACTAAAATCATTTGGATAATCTTCGTTTCGAGATTGCGAGTAGTGATATCACGGTCACACTCTCAGCTTCTCACCCTGTCACCTGTAGATTTTTAGAACGTTTTTAGTTGCTGACCGTGTGCATTTACGAGTGTTCAAAGAGCGCTCGTAAGCATACAATTTTCACAGATGATCATAGATTAACAATTAGATGTACAGATCCATCAGTAATTAGTTTTCTGTAAACTAAAATGCATGCAATTAAATTAACACATCATGTGTGCACATTAAAACTCTCCGTTTCAAGCTGCTGTTTCTGTACCAACTCAATCTCTGATCTACTCTTTCATTTCACGCTGCTTATTAAACCCGCAATAAATCTGCATGCGTAGACACCTTTACATTCTGTCAAGCATACGTCCCGTCAGAAACTGTCGATACACCGCATCGCAAAGTAACGGAGAGCGTGAAAGTCTTTATACGAAAGGTGTATTTTACCGAAATCTTTGTGATGTAACTTCGTAACATAATAGCGGGCTTAAATTTCGATCAAAAATGTGCAGATCCAAGCAGGTGAAAATTTTCTTTCAAGTTCCGAACGCGACATAATCGAAAATGACAATGACATTGAATATTCCGAAGCAATCCACGCAAAAACTTTTTTTTTTATTTTGTCAACTCATCGTCCCGTTGAAATTGCCGTTCAATCTCAAGCTGAGAATATTTAAGCTTAAATTTTAAAGAAAATTTCGTTTGTTATGAAAATATTACACTCACACAACAGCTTTATGATTAATATGAATTTTATTAATTGCTAAGATTTGAAGTTGTTTAAATTTGTTGCTATTAACAAATTTCTAATGAATCAATGTAGTGGGTACTTTAGAAAACAGAATTATAGAAAAGAGAATGTGTACATATAGAAAAATAGAATAAAGTAATAAATTTACGTGAACAATTTGAACAATAATATACTAATTTGATAAAATTGATGCCTTTGAAATACAAAAATTGTCTAATAATCATGATTTGTAATAAAATTTGTTTTAACAGAATTTTTACTTGTCATTTCGATATTCTGTAAGAAATTAGTTATTCGATCATTTTTGCAAAATTTTTACAAAAATTCTATTTTTGGTTAACAGTAACTCAACAAAAGTTTATTTCCAAATTCCGATAACAATATAATATGATATAAACATGTCATTATCTACATGAATACATATGATTTTCTTTGCTGTTATCGACGGCATGCTCATTTTGCATAATCAATCTCAGGTATATTCAGATAATTGATATTGTATGTCAAAACAAATTTAATTAACGTTGCATGGTTCCAATTTCCAAAAAATGAGACGCTTTTCAAAATATAAGTTTCATGAAATAAAACACATTCCGAAAGATGTTTGAAATGCGATATAAAAAAAGATCTTTTCACGGACCATAAATCATATTATCTGGATAAATAAAGGATAAAATAGTAGATCCCTCCCTCTCCTCCCTAAATAAAAGCCAGAAATCAGAATCTTCAATTTATCGCTGTAGTTTGAAAGAATAATTAACAAAGGTTAGTTAAATTTCGAGCATTACATATTTCGGCACAATATGCATGTATTAGATTTTTTTGAAATAGAAATTGCCATTCTTGATAATATACAAAACTTTGATAAATGGAACACGATTTTGATTATAATAGTATCCTGAAAATAATTGCAAACGAAATATATTGAAATACAGAATTAAATAGAAGCAAGATAGAAAACCAGACAAAGTATTTATAATAAAGTTTTTTGGTAATAGTAAATAAAAGAAAAAGTTTTTGATCATAATCTAAAAAGAAATAACATATTGAACTGATTATTCATTTGTACGGCAGAAAAAAAACAAGTATATCTGAATCTTTATTTAATTCATAAAGTAATTGCATCTGAGAAATTGTTAAATTGTATAACAGGCATTCTTAAATATCTTTGTATTCAAGTTTTCAATATGTAATATAAGCAAAATTTACAATAAATAAAATTTTATTTTTAACATGCTGCAAAAATTTTATGGTTCATTTCATTATTGCATTTAGCGAGTATTCTAATCTGGATATGAATCATGTAAGTTTTTCTTTAAACAGAAAATATACATACATATATATAAAAAATTCTCACTTTTCACGTTTTTTGCTTTAAGGAAAAAATTACATGATTCATCCCCAGGTACATATTATGGAATCATTTGGAATGGATTTCGATCTGAATTATTTTGGTTTCCTTAAAATACAATAGAAATCTAGAAAATAATAAAATAATTTCATTAATATATTGTTAAAAATCAGGACAGGTATTATGAAATTATTCAGAATCCATTCCGAATAAATTTTATAATACCTGTCGTGATCTTTAATGATAAAAATAATTTTCCAAAAGAAAAAATGCAATTAATGAAACTGATATCTATACAATTTTTTATCACAAGCAATAAGACTAACCGAAAAATTTTTATTACAAAATGAAAACCCAATTTTAAATATTTAGCACGTTAATAGCGTATCTCTATTTTAAGTTATCTGGCAAATAAAAAGTTTTTATTAAATCTATAGAAATTAGATATCAACTATTAATCTGTTATTTGTATTTAGCTCATTCAATTCAAAATATAATTCTATATCATATTATTCTGAAACAATGGACCATTCATCAAAAATAGTATATGTTGTACAAATTTCAAAGAGAGCCTTTTCAGCAGCATTATTGAGAAAATCTAAATTATATTTTTGATATTCCAAAAAATCTATATTTAAAAAAAACTATTCTATATTTCAAATAAAATACCCAAGAATATCCAAATCGGTCGAATAAAATTAGTAAAAAATAACATTTGACAGATACAACAAAAATTAACAATTATAGCCTTTAAAGTTATATAATTTTTGTAACAAAATTAAGAACAACTGACAATATTGGCAACGTTAAAAATTATATGTCTTGCAACTGAAAGTAAAAACATTCATCACGAAAGAAATTATGCTGTTCGGGCAGTTGTTTCACCTGTTCGCATATTCGATCAGTGCGAAGGGGATCAGTTTTCTGCTCCCCTTGTATTTAAACGCCGGAAGCAAAGAGCATGTCGATCGATATCGGCATACGTAACCAGTCTAACACTGCATTGATTCGGTCACCGAATACATTGATACGAAAGAATTGCTCCTTTAAATGCACTTCCATATCCAAAGGAATTTACATTACTGAAAATATAAGGTGCACACATAAATTGCGACACACAAAGTATCACTTTCCATTTGATCTATTTGATCCTCGCATCTATAATTGGATTTGCTTACAACCGATGAGAATATATGACAAAAATATAGATTCGTCCCTATATAATGATCACAAAATTTACTCTGCTTCGGTCTTAAAAAAATTCACCGTATTTTAATAATACAACTCCATTGTGTTCAATAATACAACCCAATTGTGTCACGTGAAAGTAACATACGTGTTACTTTCTCTAGTTTTGTATTACGATACTTTTCTGAAATCGGTTACATTATGGAAAAAAACGTGCGCGCATATAAAATTGGTTTCTTCAAATAGAATTAAAGCATTTTTATAGACCCTATTTGAATAAGTCATTCAAATTTATTTAACGTTGTCAAATCAGCATAACAGATTTTTTTGGTATACGCTATATCTCGCCAAGTTTTATATTAATTTGTGTTAATAACACCCCGAATAATAAAATTAAGATCACGTAATAAAATGAAAAGTGAACTTGCAATAGAACAATGATATTAATTTAATAAGTGAAATAATGGTTACGTTTTGGCTTATAAATGATACTTCTGGCCTTTTAAAATCAATCGCTAGCATTATACCATTTTGAAAATAATTCCCATTGTTTCAACGAAAAAATAGAAGAATTTATCGGCTCTTATAATGGATGCTTTATAGCATGTTTCAAAAGAAAAGATATCTGTTGAATTTTTGGATACAACAGTACCTTTGAATTGATTTAAGATGTGTAAAGAATATAAACAAAACATGTTTTAAAAGAAAAGATATCTGTCGAATTTTTGGATACAACAGTACCTTTGAATTGATTTGAGATGTGTAAAAAATATAAAGAAATTTCATTAGAACGTGAAGAAAATATAGAGAAAACATAGAGAAGATATAAAGACTGAAGAACATTCTCGAATTAAAGCGAAGTTTAAATTTAAAATCATATGTAAAATAGCATTTTTTTAAATATCAGAAATTATAGCAGTAATTATAACAATAGAAACAAACAGAGATGATTGAATGTTTTTTTTTATTTTATGCTACAAAAAGAAAAGATTCTCTCCGTTGTTAATTATTTCAATAATACCCAAGTGAGAATTCCTGAATGGTTCAAAACTAATTCTAATTGCTTCAGACGAATACAAAATATCTTTGGATTGCCGTGCTTTTTCAAAATTCGTAAAACGACTGGGCGAACCGTTTTGTTTCCGAAAGAAGATATAATATATACATAGAAAATTATCAATTTAATTATCGCGACCAATATAAAAAAAATAATCTCACGAAACTAATTATTGAACTATTGCCGGTTTTCTTCAATTGCAAAATTGCAAAATCTCGACAGCAAATTATAAGAAAGACGTGTCACAATTATGGAAATCGTGATCGATCAAGGAAAGATGATTTTTAAGTGAAATAAATAGAATTACTCGATTACTGCTTCATCATCAGTTTCACGCGAGCCCGAATAATCTGTGAAACCGACCATCAAAGTTAACGTAACGAGCTATAAATTCATTGCTCAAGAATATAATCAGCGTAACAGGTCGACAAAGATCAGTCGTCGAAACCCGCTCAAGACCACTCTAACGATCTGAACGAACGTCAAACGCCAACGAGAACACCACGCGATCGTTAGCGGAAGAAAAGATTCCGGACATCAAAACGCGAAGCAGGCCGGACTCGCGTAACAAAGAGCCACGGCTTTGGCATTGTCGCGCGGCCTTCAAGAATCTAACAAGCCACAAAAAAAAAATAAGTTCTGTTTTAAGAGTCCCTCATACGCTCGGCGTACCCGGCCCTTCTAACATCCGTACAAAGGTATTTCGTCACTTTGCTCCCGTTCCCCTTCGCGTTTCGTGATTTACCCGCGTTCCCAGGGAAGAGAGAGAAAACCTCCAAAGGGGGCTAACTAACTCATAATGCCTAACAAGTCCCACGGTCCAGCATCTTTGCATCAGCAGTACAACAGCACGACTTCTTTGTCTTCTTCTCTTGCGGCCACGCTTCTCTTCCACGATTCACGCTTCGCCCTCTTTTTGTGCTCTCCGGTCTTTCCGGGGCTGGTTGTTCCGGTTGTACACACAGGGAACCGTCGAGGTCTTTGATTCTCGCTTCTGCTCTGTTCCTCTCAGCTACACTTTCCACGCTGCCTCTCTCCATCCTCCCTCCGTCATCCCTCCGAAACGCGAGGATAATTGACATATTGTCGACGAATCACTAACGAAATCACGCGTTTTATTCAAGATCGCAGGCTACTACCAGCTGCTCCCAATAGTGCGTATTGTTATATATTTCGTATAATCGTGGTAAGCAGTATTGATGCAAAAAAAACTTTGAGATTTCATGAGAGCCGCACGAGCGTCCGAAAGACTTCTTGCAAATTATATTACACGTTACAATCATCACGCAAAATTATATTACAGAATAAACAGCTTGTGCTTTACAACATCTCGTACTATTTCTGGAAAAAAGGAAAATAGAAAAAAACGTGAATCTGGTGCTTGTAGAATTTTTCCAGGATCATTCCTCAAAATTATTTCAATTTCGGTTCACCGTATCGAGATGTATTGATTTATTTGTGATCATATTATTGCAAAATATTCTCTCTGGCAACTTCCAAATCTTCGCACCAAGATGTCAAGTCAAAGTCCTTCCACGATTATCGTCTCCAACGTAGGAAGAGGAAAAAAGTGTAGCTTATAAGAACAGATACTCTTTGATGATAAATCCGTCGTTTAATTTTCAAAAATATTTTTCAGACTTTTTGCCTTGACCTTTAAATCTTGTTTCTTGGCTATTTATATGACATGAGTCTTTTTAAAAAAGGTCAGAATAAGTCTCTCTCAAACAAAAGATAAAATAATGACCGAAAAGAATATTTAACATTGACCGAGATAAAAATAAGATTTATTTGGAAACACTCGATTACATTCATATGAAAATCGAAACAAACTGATTCAAGATTTAACGACAGTGATTGTATAATATCATTATTTGGGGTGATCGATATCTATTAGACGAATGATCGAATTGCTCTAAGAAATTGAGTACACACAGACAGATTTCCAAAGCCCATTTCGCCCAAAAAACACGAGCAGTAATTCACTTGATGAGTACAAAATCCGAAAAACTTGTCCGTCATTTCGATGCAGAATTCAAAAAAAAGTTTTACATCTAAAAGCTATTTATAAAGACGAACGTAAAAATAAAATGTGCTAGAAAAACAGCTTTTCTCTTGAAACTGGAATAACTTTATCATTGTTACATTACATACATTTTTCTCAGTAACGATCAAAAACAGTAATAAAATTTAGTGCATAAAATCAAAGTACGTACAAAACTAAATTACTAACTGTTCACGAAAAAGGAAAATTAAATGGAATATTGCGTTACAACAAAACTGAAGATGAAATTGACAAAAACTGAAGATAAAATTATTAAAAACGATATTTGCCAGATATCCGTTAAATGTTGATTCTCAATCTGATTCAAAATTTCAAAGAAAAAAATTGATTTTCCGACATTTTACATTGTAAATTTTTTATATCAACACTTTTTTTTTAACACAGCTAAATTTTCCGAACACGATATAAATTCATCATGAAGTTAAGCGTCGCTTGATAAAGTATTTTCCGAACAAAATGCAAATCGTTTACATGTTACAAAGAATGAACGGATGTAAGTCTAAAAATATCATCGGATCATTCATCATTTACTGCAATCTCATCAAGAATACGCCTGTACTGATTAAAATTGATCGAAATTCCTCGCGCATGGAAACTCGTTGATAGGCCAAAAGACGTACAAGGCGTTCGCGAATTCTGAAAAGATCGGAACAGCAACAAATAGTGAAGAAATGTCTATTTTTCGGTGTCTATCTTCAAAGACGACGCTTGGCGACTGCACGCACATTTTTCGAACCTGCACTAGCTAGTACTATCCGAAATCTCAAAGGGACCACTTTGTTTAGCGACACTAAAGAGCATTTGGTAGAAATCGGTTAGATTAGAGTTTCAACGCACGGAGAAAACGTGAACAACCGGCCCTTGTGTGTTTTTTTCGTAGCTAACGCTCACACCCTTCCAGGTCTCACCACTCGGACGGCCCGGGAAAACGAGGCAGCAACAATCAAGGGCAATCAGGGCATCAATCATGGCATCAACCAGTCGACGGGACGGCACGGGAGGATCAACATCAGCGGGTGCAGCCGGTAACCGATGTCAGGCGGAAGCCAGCTATCCGGCGAGGAGCCAAAACGAGTAACCGAAATGGATAAGGAAGCCAGCTATCCGGCGCGATCTCGTTCCTCGATGATCGGGGGAGATCATCAGAGATCAAGAGCGACGATCGCAACAATTCTTCAATTCACTAGGCTATCTATTATATTTATTGCAACTACGGGATTTGTTGAATTTATCGCCAACTATCGCGCATCATTCGTTTCAAGTTATCGCATTCACACATTTCGCACACAAGAGGGGAAAACAGGCTCTCACGTGTCTACCCGGCGAGCCTGAGGATATTAATGATTTATCTTGCACACTCGAAAGCGCCTTCGAACGAGACATCCTCGAGGGATGCGTACACAAAACTCCGCGAGTTCTAGCATCGAACGAACCTTCCGGCATTCGATCTTGAGAAACCAAACCAGGCAATTTTTATTTTCGTTGGACCAACCATCTTCCGTCTCGACAACGTCTACGCCACACGCCAGACGGCGCACAATCGTCAATCATTCGATCTCCAACGCGAAATTTTCGGAAACTCAGGAATCTCCTGACTGGCGGGTGGCTGCACCTGCCGTTCTCGCCGGACCGAAGAGCAAAAGCAACAAAATCGAACACTTTCAACGCAACACTTGGAGCATCGTCAAAAACAGCAAACACACCTGGAAACGTCACACATTTACTATCACTATTATTATTACTTCAAAAAAAATCCAACGCCGACGTTACTTTCACCCTCACAGCCAATACTAATACTAATGATAGTAACACTATCGACGAAAATTTCTCTGAAATCAATAATATCTCAGAAATTTACGGAAATGTCACACAGCGCGTGCATCACGCGACGCACTTCAGGAACGCACAGTTTCACTTCAGGAACGAAAAAAAGCACACACTCGTAACACGCACGCGCACATAATTAGCGTGCTCCGCGTTGTTTCGCAGCGCGAAAAAAAGAAAAGAAATTGCGAGAGTCCAGACTCTGCCTCGCTCAAAATTGGATTGGAAAGGACAAAACGTCTCTCCTCACAAAAGGCTCACGGCATGGACGGAATCGTTCCTCCGACCTCAACCAGGCAACCCTTCGGTCTATACGCCGCCACAGGCGCAAAGTCTCGCACACCTCACGATTATAATTTCGCAGAGCATTTACCAAACGGTCGCAGCAGGACGCGCGATCTTTTTTTCGTATGTATACGATTTACAGGAGGCATTACCGCGGATCGTACCGCGAGGAAAAAGAAAAACACTTCTCGTTACACTTCCCTACGTTCTCCACGCGCTGCGCCACCACCAAAGAGATACAACGTGATACCAAGTTCACGTACGATTTATCGATTTATTTTCTCACTAACTCTTCCCGACAATTTTACGTGAAACAGTTCCGCAAGACCATTTTTGATCATTTCACGGTTCAAACAGGAGACGATCGATTAACGCGCATGTCAATCAACGGCATGCAAATTATGGCTTCAGAGCAGATCAAAAGCGCCAAATCGCAAAATCGGTAATCATGACGTAAATTACATCGTGCGGCCAAAACAGTGCTGCGCCGATCTGAGAAAAAGCGATCTTCCAGAACTCAACCTGGCGACGAAGAATAGAGGCTCTCGATCGAAATTCGTAAGTTATTTCGGATCGACGAGTTAGCGCACCGTCAAATACCTGACCTACAACTTCTCGATCGATTAATGATTAGCAGAAAGAGAAAAAGAGAGAGCAAACAGCAGCGCTCCAAAAACAGACGATCTCAAAAGACGACCTGCGCAAATTTCGCAAGCAAAATCCACAGGGAAGTGGGCGGAAAGATTGACATTCAAAGCAGATGTTATCCCCAAATCAATCGAAATCGATCATTAATCGAAACAATTTATATCGAACCCCAAAATCAATTGGATCAACAATCGAGCTAATTTATATAACGTTCGTTTGCGAATGACGCTATGCAAAACAGTACACGCGGAGTCCTTGTTGGTCCAATCCAAGGATACTCTGAAAACAACCAGAAATTATCAGCAAAACCTGCGAATAAACTTTCACAAAAAAAAAAAAAACGAACTTTCGCACGCGGCTCTGTAGCGGCGTAAATCAACTTGTTTCATCTGAAAAATTACGTCCGACGAGCAAAAACTACTTCAAGAGCACGAAACAACCGCAAAATACCGCCAGAAAACAAGAATGGCGAGAACCATTTACTCGGAGCAAAGCAAACTCGGAGAGAATCATTTATTCTCCATTACTCCAATAAACTCTGCACTCGGCCACAAATTCGACACGAATCGCACGAAGATTCGAATCTGGATGAGAATAGAATTTTAAAAGAATAGAATTTTACATCGAAAAGCATTCCGACTCGATGCAAATCTCAGGACAAAAATCGCTGTCGCGGACTTTTCCGACTGTGCAAGAAACCTCGACAAGCTTAAACAGAACCTAACTAATCGACAACGATGTTTTATTTTTCTCCTGTCAAGCAAGAAGAGCTCGAGGAATCAAGACGAGCAAAGGACTAATTATGTTTCATGGAAATTCATCGGAGGACCTACCCTCGGACGACAACTCTTGGACATACACGGATAATCGCGAGCACCAAATCATAGCGGAACAACATGGGACACAGTCGTTTGGGTCAACAAACAACGCGGACGTCGCGGAACGTCGTGGGACCATCAGCAAAGGTACTATCCCTTGTTCTAATCGTACAATTTTATCCTAGATTATACTTTAAGTCACTAACGATATCGATCGAAACTTCGTGAATATTAACTTAAAGCGGAAACTATTTGATATACGGTAAAAATAGATCGTCATAGTTCTGCATTTGGACATTTAAAACCTTACTTAGTTATATATAAAATTCTCGTAGACTTAGTTTATTTATTTTTATTTATTTTCTTTTTTAATTTGTCCGTTATTTTTATTTCGTTCAATTTTGTTTTACATATCTCGTGAAATCGTCGTTAATATCGAAGCACAAAGCGCGCTTTCTCTACATGAATTTCTGAGATGTATGTATATAAAATATATATTTCATTTTCCTTTGCGTCTTACGTTAGCACAAGGGCTCGCGTATTTCAAGAGATACAGATTTGATTATAACAGAAATTGTAACTTGAATTGTAATAAAAATGGAGAGAAAAATTCTGACATTTTTACGACTAGAAACATCGATCTCAATAAAAAATATGTGAACCAAATAAAACTGGAAAAAAACTATTTATTATGTCAATAATTATGAATAACGAATTGATACTCTTGATACAAACTTTCTGATCGTAAGAATGGTAAACTTTTAAACATCCAAATATTATATTCAAGACTCATCCGAAATAAATATGTTATAACTTTAGATTCTTAGCTGCGCTTTGTGAATTTTATATCATTCATTGTCACATGTTTAATTTTTGTTGAATTCAACACATTCTTTATATTCCGATGATTTCACAGATTGATCAGTTATTCATTCTGTTTTCAGTTCTAATTTTTTTTTGTTTCTTTTATTTTCATTAATTTTTTTATTCATAAAAAGAAGAACATAAAAAACCTCAAAAAAAAAAAGAAAGAAATAAGTATGAAAATATAAAGCTCGATACGTTCTACACAAAATAATAAATTAAAAGTCGACAATATGCCTCAAAAATAATTAAATGACTGAATACAAAAGTAATTTCAAAGCAATTGAGATAAGTATTTATGTTTTATTGTTACAAAAAAATGAAAGATTTAATTTCGACAGCTATACGAAGATGCTGAAAGGATGTGAAGAAATGTTGATTTTGCAAAATATGTTGATAAGCATCGCGAATTACGATACGTAAATAACGTAATCGCCGTTTTGCGAGATCAACAAGTTCCTTTTAGGGTCTACGTATTTTGTCATTCAAATTCTGCTACTCAGTTTCAACTATTCAGTGGTTTAACAAAATACATAAGTCAAGAAGAGAAAACTTAAAATTCATATTTTGACTATTTTTCCGACAGACATATCCGATGTAGAATGTGAATATTTTTTAATTACTTAACACATATATATATATCTAATTTAATTAATGCACAATCGTATCGTAGATATTTCGCGTTTAAATTTAATTTTTAATTTTATCACTAGCACGCTCAGTTAAGACAAAAATGTTCCACAGATAAATGAATAATATCCCTGTGAATAGTAATAAGAACAAGTCGTGGATACTAATATTTAGTGTTGTGAAATGTCGTCTGTCAATTGTAAATTAATAATATTTCAATGCTGTAAGTTAACAATAATTGCTCTAATTTATCGCATACCTCTTTTTATTTTCATGAAATACTATAATTACTACATGAATTTTTCGTTAATTTACTGTCAAGCTTTATATCGCTGAAAGCTTTTAATCGCCTGAAAGTTATACGATAAATATTATCAATTTAGAATTGATAGCTTCATCTCGTAGACAGATTATTTAAGACCGTTAATTTTTATGAAACGATTAGTTAATTAGTTTAGATTGATCCATATATTAATCCATAAACATCTATCCAAACACATAGTAAACAGAAATTTTTTCAACTCTAAACATAGTCACATTATTATACATTCGAGTTAAGCGACATAATTTAACATTAATAGTTTTCTTTATAGAATTGGATATCTTTAGGATGTAGTTTTAAGGTCTAGGGTAAACACATACACACATTTTTACAGAAACAAATTGTTTATGTTAATTACCCAGATAAAAGATCAATGGACTCGATGTAAAAAGTTATGAATGATTTGTACTTTGCCTGTAGTAACGATTGAAATTAAATTCTATCTGGAATAATACGATCCGAACGAAGGCGTTTAAGGTACATTTCGTAAAGAAAGGAGATTCAAAACATTTCACGAAAGAGAATTGTTCAGATACAACGCGCAAACGTATTATGCTGCTTTTGAATGCTTCTCGTATGTTGCTTATCTGAATGTTATTGTTTCTGTTGTTTACGTTTGTGTCAAATTTTATGTTTTTGGCCACCCGACATAGTACTCCTCCCCAAGATTCTCCCATTGTTCACGTTGAATTTCTGTTTGGCACGTTGTTGCTGTTAATACATTATCAGATGTTACATCCCATTTCCTTTTAAAACCTGTTTAACTCTTGTTATTTTATCGCATGTTTCCCCGTTTCCAAGCCCTCGAATATTCCCATTTTTGTTCAAAAGTTATCTTTAACACTGTTAATCCTTTGTTGATTGTACTGTTGATACTTTGTTCGTGTTGTAGATCATCGTTATTGCATCCATAAAACTCCTGTCGAATATTTGTACTCGGAAATCTTCTATTTCATACTTTCAAAAATATTTGATCTATCCTTTCAGTTACTATAGCAAATTTCGAACAGACATTAAAAATTCTATTTGATTTTTAATACAATATATTCGCTGTATTTCTGAAATCTTAAAATGATAGTTGTGTAAATATATTTCAAAAAATTTTGAATCAAGATACTTCAAGAAAAAGAGAAAAATCTTACATGTCATAATGTTACCTCAATTTGACAAATGTGCCTCTCAAAAAGTTATTAGTTTCTAAATCTATATTCAAAAAATCGTATTACTTTTTATATGCTCTGTTATATTCCATAATTCATAGAAATTCTGTTACATTCCAAAATCCTTATAAATTCTGATGATACACATCACCCCGTGTTATCATTGTTGAAAGTTCATACAAGTTGAAACATGTTCTGTATTTTGCGTTAAATTTTGTCAGTTGAAGTTATTAGTTTGTTTGCCTTAAACATATTATTGTATAATCGTTACTTACACACATTTATCTCGCTCGTTATTAATACCGTTGTTTACCTTACCCATTTGTTCGATCCCTAATATTATTATCTTTATTAATATTTGCTATTTAAATTTTATTACGAAAACATTACATTTCCAGATTACTTTATTATTGTTGACAATGTGACGGCAGGGCGATCAATCAAATTTATTCCAATTGGGCAATTAATAATATTTACGCTTATATTTGGCATATATGAAAATTTATTCTTACGACTTGCTCGATGTAAATACGATTCTCGCAAGCACGGTAAAAAGTATGTTCCAAAAAATAGATGTAAACTCGAACGTAAAAATGAAAATTCAAGTTTTATATTTGAGACATATAATTCGCCAAATTTACGTTTCTTGAAAATAATTCGTAATATGTGGAAAAAATATATTCAAAATCATATTATCAATAGAAACAACTGAATTATACTCTAACCATAAATAAAGAAATTATTTCTATTCTTCTTACATTTCTAAATTCTTTAACGGTAATCAATTAATCTTCTTGCAGCTAAATTCTATGGCAAATATTTAATTGTCAGAAATACTTGGCCAGCCACCATGACGTACCTATAATCGTTATTGTTATCTAATATCTTTGTTACGTATCCCTGGTTATTGTTATACAAAATTACGTTATTGTTAAGTTACCATTGTTACCTCTAAATCCCGAGAAGTTGCATGCTATTAATGCCCGTGTTCCAAGTTTTTTGTTCTTAAAGAATTTGTCGTAGAAACTGTTTTGTTACTGTTAAATCGGCACCAAAAGCAAGCATAATTCGCTCTTTCTTTCTTTCCTCCGTTCTTTCTCTTTCTTTCCATCATCGAATTAAGATTAAAGAATCTAGATTTAATTTGGCGAAATACAAATCGATCGTCAGTTTAATGAGAACGATAGAGATTTAAGATATCATACTACACGATACACGATGCGTTCATCAAGCTTTGACATCATTCTAGCAGAAATATTATGTTCCGGATTATTAATTTAATGTTAACTTGCAAACTGCCTTACGATTATCGTCTGCGAGATTGATTATACTTTGGTTTTCACCGTATAGTGCCTTATTTGATACATTTTAATGTACGTATATAATTATGTATGTTCCATCATCGTAAAATAATGTAATGAGAATGTAGTTTTAGTGCAGCTAAGAATATATAAATTTTCGTGAGAAAAATACGCTAAAGTGCTGCTATACGACACATGTACATAATATATGTAGGTACATTTAATAAAGACATTCTGTAATACATAATGCATTCTTCATTATCTATACACAGATATTACCTATTTTCCTCTTATTTACAAACAGAAAATTATACTTAATTATTGTATAATTTTGTCAACAGTTGCAGTTATTACAATTACATGATTTAATTATAACTGAAAATTTATTTTATAATACAATAATTTATGTTCAGTACAATCATTATCTATATTATACGAAATAACTAATATATACATATAATATATTACGAATAAAAATTGTGTATTCATATTTAATGCGTGTCTACATATTATTTCCATCTGCAAACAAAAGACGCACTTGTGAAATATGCCTTATCATGTTTTCTAGAATCATATTAATCACAATATTATCTAGCTACACATGATTGATAATTTACATCGTAAAATTAGTGCGCAGTAAATGTCATGTTATATAATAATAATGCTTCGTTTTAAACATTATCTCTTTTTTAGAATAATATCTGAACATACACTGAAAATAAATTAAAGTATATTAATTAAAAAGTTTTATCACAAATTTTATTTATATAATTGTACTGTTAAAGAGATCATAATGTTTATAATTTTTCGGATAAATAAAATATTTTCTTAAAATGAAAGAATTAATATGAAGAATTTCTTATAATGAAAATAATATTTTTATTATTTATCTTTTATATGCAATTACTATCAAAGAAAAATGATGTCTATGCGAGCCAAACACTAGATGTTCCGCGTGCAAAATATTTATTATTTAATACAAAATACACAGTTTGCGGACATCTAGTGCTTGGCTCACATAGACATCATTTTTCTTTAATTTATTCTTTGAAGCCTATCAATTCTTTTTATTGTATTAAAGTATCATTTAATACGATTAAAAAATATTTATCATCAGGAAAGTAATCTTACAAAAATTAATATATTACAAAATCCATATTGTAGAAAAAAAGTAAATCAAAGAAAAAAGATTTTCTAAAGAAAAAACTAAAAAGTAATTATTCAACTCATAATTAAATCGCGACCAAATAACCCAAAAAATTCATCAAACAAAAAAAAAGGTAAAGAAAAATCTCGTAGTTAAATCGGCCGGATTATGCTCCAAAGACCGCCTTTTACTTGGGCCAGGAAGGTCGAAGATAC